ATATAATAATATATAATAATATAATAATATATAATAATATAATAATATAATAATACAATAATATAATAATATAATAATATAATATAATAATGTTTTTAATAGGTTGGAATTTCATATAGTTTTATTATTAATACACAAATAAATGAAAATTATATTATAAATAAAAAACAAAATTAATATATCTCATATATGTACTGATTATAAATAAAATATATTTTAATCATATAAATCATTATTTCTTCGATTCAAGAAATCTTGAATACAGATGCTAGAGATATATAAGAAAAAATTTTAAATGAGTTTCATTATATTCGATGCAGTTGACATTAAATATTTAAAATTTGTACGAAAATAAATAATTAAATTGTTCATACTTAAATATTTTTATAGGAGAATATTTGTTAATTCTAAATCCACATGTGGTTGCATGTGACATCTCATTAGAATGTATAAAGTACAATAATTATTGAGATTACAAATTTCACAAAAGAAAAATCGACACATACCTCGAATTTGTTTTTGATGAACTAACACTTGGATCACATTTTTTCGAAATTTTTCATAATAAAGTCAGTAACATTAGAAGAATAATCGCCATTGCCTTTTTACTGTTTTTGCTTATAATCTATGCTCGTCACTACGCATACAAATAACAAATGGAATAATTTAACTAGTTTTAACATTTATTAACTAATAAAAAATAAATATATAAATCATTTTTTTATTGTTTCTTTCTTTATTAAAATAATTTTAATAATGCATATTTTCATTGTATAAAAAAAATAATGTAAATTATATTTTTAAAATTTAATTTATTTGAAATATTATATAAAAATTATTATTTTTATTTTTTTATATGTTAAAATACATATAACAAAAATACATATTACGAAAATATTAATCAATTATAATAAATTATAAAATAATTTTAATTTCATTTTAATATCATGAAATCAATATATATTAAAAAAATTTTCCTTATATTAAATTATATAAATTCTATATAATAAAATTATAATGATTTAATTAAAAAAATTTAATTAAAATTTCTAAATTTTTATTATTTATATTTACAATTGCATATTTTAAAAAAATTTTGCTTTTAAATCGATATTATTAAATAATTATTTTTTTAATAAAATTAATAACTTTTTTCCTTATTATAAATTTGTTGTACAATAAATCAAGATAATTTTCAGCAATATTTTTTAAAAAGTCATATTATCTTTAAAATATTATTAATGCGCCTTTCATATGCTTTTTTCATATCGCATCCATTAAAATCTCACTTTAAACAATTCTTAGTAGGTGAATAATTCTAATAACAATAAACTGTTGTATGTATATCAGTTTTTAATCTGTCAAATTGACAGATAAAGAATGTACCAATCTTTTTACCTATATTAAAGTACAAACGCCTATTTTAATATATTTAAAACATTCATCATGTGTGGTAAAGAAGTATGATCCTTATAAATCATTTATTTTAAATCATACTTAGAAATTATTTGTCTTTTAGTTATAAACGTTAAATATTCGCATTTTTATTAAATATCTTCCATTATGAATGCATAGTAAGTGTCTTAATATTAATTTTTATAAAAATATTATTTGAATAATTTTAATTGGATACACTATCGTAAAATTCATTTGCATAATAAAAAAATATCTATCACTTATAATTGATGAAATGCTTATACATTTAAGATTATATCTGTAATAATAATTTAATTGTACAATTTCTTGCAATTAATTTTATTTAATATAACTTTTAGTAACAAAAACACACACGGATCAAGTATATCGGGAAACGCATTCGATCGTTGGGTACAAAGGACTAATATGCATGACGATTCCACTATTACAAAAATGCAACATCAGTTTTGGGTTACAAAACAAGCTTTATCACGGAAATTAGGAAAAAAAGAAGATGAATGTATAGTAGCATCAGATGCAGAATTAGATGCCAAGTTAGAATTGTTTCGTAGCATTCAAGAATCTTGTTCTTATTTGCAAAGAATTATTGATAAATATCAAGAAAGATTATGCAGTAAGTTAATAATGAATTTAAAATTTTTTTTTTATATTATATTTATAATCATTATATCTTTAATTTTATAGATCTTGCACAAGAAGAAAATGCAATGGGACGATTTCTTAAAGATGCTGGTAAACAAGATAAAACTAGAGCTGGCAAGATGATGACAGCAGTTGGGAAATCATTATCATATTCTGGTCAACAAAGACTTGCATTAAGAGCTCCATTGGGACGATTATATCAAGAAGTAGAAACATTTAGACAAAGAGCTATTGAAGATACATTGCAAAAGGTTCAAGCAATGGAAAAGGCTCGCACTGAATACAGAGCAGCTCTATCATGGATGAAAAATGTTTCTCAGGAATTAGATCCTGATACATCAAAACAGTTAGAAAGATTCCGTAAAGTTCAAACATGTGTTAGACAGTATGTATTACTAACTATACTATATTAATTATTGCTAATATATTTCTAAATTCTATATATACATATATATATATATATATATTTAAATATTTTTAAGCATACAATTCTTTGTTGATGTAGAGGTAAAATAGCCTTTGATAACCTGGCTTTAGATTGTCTTCAAAAAGTTGATTTATTGGCTGCAGCAAGATGTAATATGTTTAGCCATGCTTTAGTTTTATATCAAAGTACGCTTTTAAATTTTACTGAAAAATCTGCACAAGCATATTCCACAATAGCAAATAGTTTTAAAGGCTATCAACGATATGATTTTATGGTTGTAAAAGAACTTACCGAACCTTCAACTAAATTAGCTCAGGAAACTGGAGGTGATGATGATCTTGATGAAAAAGACAAGTAAATTATAAATTTTTAAAAAATTTTTAAGAAATATTAGTGATAAGAGTTTACTATGCTAATAAAATATTTTTTATATTATCATTTTAGATTATCATTTTTTGACATGGATTATCATGATAATGTTGAAGAAGCTGAAGAAGTAAAACCAATCAAACAGAATATAGTTGAAAACGATAAACAAGATGAAAAATTATTGGATATTGAGTATGAAACAAAAGATATGTTAGGATTAGAAGAATTGGATTTAAATTCTAGTTCTTCAAATAATAGAATCATGCAATCAATTTCTGAAGTAGAACAGAAAGAAAATCTCGAACAACTTTTTGAAAATTTAATCTTAGATAATAATGTATCTCATACTGACATTATACAAGATATTATACAAGAAGGAACTCAATCTAAATTTAATAAAAAATTTGATGAACAAAATCTAACAATGGATATATTTGATAAATCTGATACAAATTTTAATCTAGCTGATTTCTCTTCCTTAGAACAAAATTCAAAAGAACAATCTTTACAATCCCTTACCTCGGAAAATATGGTACTTTTAAATGATATTCTTATTGATAAAGAAAATACTGATAGCGAATGGGAAGCGATCTCGAATGATACATTTTTACCACCAAATATATTAAAACAAAGTTTAGGTGATGCAACTCTTGGTATTGGACAAAAAAATATACTTACTACTACTAATATGGATGACAAAGTATGTAAACATTATTAATATTATTAAATATTGTATTAAATACAATAATAATAAACTAAATTAAATAAAATAAACTAAAATTATTAGAATTGAATAGTATTCAAAAATATTTATATTTTATAAAAAATTATTAAAAATGATTTGAATAATAAATTTATCCTATTTTTTCTTAGAAAAAGAATAAGACTGGCAAACTAAAGGGTAATTCCTGGTTGGATTTATTTGCTGAATTGGATCCTTTGGCTAACAATCCAATGGAAAATCTTTCTAGTGATAGTAATGCATCTGCTTAATAATCATCTTTCTAAATTTATTAAGCTTAAAATTATATTCATGATATAATATAATCATTTATAATTTACGACAACAATCAGAAAACACATATTTATTTTTTTTAAATAGAATAATGCTGTAAGCATTATTTAGTTCTTACATATACACTAATATTAAATATTTGCTGTTTGAATTTTAATTTTAACATTCCAGATTTGTTAAATCTAATGAAAATAACAAAATGATGATAAGAATCAAAAAATAGTTAAATTTCATATTTTAAGTTCCATACCAAAGATGTAAGATTAATAGTTTGTAAAATTTAGTCATAATATATTTTTTTTTCATATATATTAAAAATATTTCTTTTTATGATAATAAATAATTATCAACTTTCCTATTCACATTTATAACAAAATATGTTCAGTACATTTAATATTGTTACATCACATGAGTAATTTAATGATGTTTCACAATATGAAACATCATAAACAATTTTTTTGATATTATCACTATATTGAACAATTGATGTTTAAGAAATATATAATGCAATTATTACATTATTTTTTTTTAATATACTGAAATATTGCAAATTGCTTCTTTTTTTTAAATAAAATAAATACAATATAAACAGATTACATTGTCACATTGTCGTTGATATTGTTTTTGTATCTTTTCTATATAAATATAAAATGCTTACGCATTAATAAAATACAAAAATCACATTGTTAACACCAAAATATAATTATATTTCACGTATAAAAGAATTCTGAATCAAAACCTAATTTTTATCAATGAGGTGTTTGAAATTTAGGCATCATAGAATTGTGCCATAGCAGTTCTAACTCTGAAACAAAACATTAGAAATTATAAATATTCGAAAAAAATATTTTTATATTAATTATATTAATAACAATAATATATTATATAAAATTTGCAAAAATATTTAGCAATAATTAAAATTTTTTAAAGTACAAATACAAAAAAAAATATTTTTTAATTTTAAAAATTTGTTACTCATACTTATCAAATAATTGAAGATCCTTGCTATGACGTAATTGTTGTAGAATACGATAAAAACCAAGCTCTTTTAAACGTGCTTGTCGTTGTGCAGCACCAGGTTCTTCTCTCCAAACTAAATTGCATACACAAAAAACTGCAGCAACTTGTAATTTTACATTACTGTGCATCTAAATTATAATTAATATCATAAATATTATAAATTTCTAATAAATATATAAATAATAAATTCTAATAAATAATATGTTATTGAAATATAATTAATAAATTATACTATTAATTAATATATATAAAAATCATAAAATATCAAAGATATGTGTTGTATTATTTTAACAAAATAAAATAAAAAAAAAAAGATCTAAAAATATATTAAGATAAAATAAAATTTAAAAACAAAAAAAACAAAAATAAAAGCAAAATTTTTTTTACAAACCATATAATCCATAAGTTTTTTAAGAACATCTTCATTAGCCATTATATGATCTTTTGCTCGATTTCCATCAGCTACATTTGCTAAAATACAAAGAGCTTGTTCTTTTACATCTGCTGGATGCCTTGGATCTTCTAAAACTAATATAACAGCTTGCATAACATGAGCAGCATGTTCTCCCATTATACGATCTATATGCGCTTTTGTAGAGAGCAAATTTCGTAATAAACCTAATGTTTTCATTAAAACTGGTATATCTTGATCTGCCAAAAGACAAAAAATTTGATCAGTTCCCAAGCATTGTAGAATCTGCAATTTTACTTGCTGTTCAGCTTGAAAAGCCACGTTCATCAAAGCCCAAATTCCATTTAATCTCAATGCTGGAGTACATCGTTTTGTAAGTGAACATAATAATTCTATCCCTCCAGATTCAAGAATTGGTTCTTTGCTTGGACTAAATTCCAATAATAAGTTACATAATGTACTTGAAGCAACAGTTAATAAATCAACTTCACTTTCGCCTCTACCTACATAATATAATTATATTAATTAATAATAATAAATGATATTAATATAATTTAATTAAAAAATTTTTTTAATTCATGACTCATATGACAAGAAAATATAGAAATATAAAAAATTTTTAATAATCATATGCAATTCATATGCATTCATAAATGAATTTTGTAATATAATTCAAAGAATAAAAGAATAATTCATAAAATCATTTACAAAATTTGTAAAAGTATTTTGAAAGACAAAATATTTTCACAAATTTGTATAAATTTTATTATTTCAGTAATAATTCATTAATTATAAAAATATTATATTTTACCTTCTAATCCCTTGTCTGCTCCATGTAATAATTGCATAAGTGGCCTCCAAACAACATGATCTTGAAAAGTTGTTCGAAGTTGTTGAACACTTCTAGAAAGAGAATGAAGACATCTAACTGCTGCTAGACGTACATGAGAACCTCCTGGATCTTGAAGACCAGCTACTACTTGTTCCATAAGACTTTCTGTTTCAATAATACGTTTTCTAATATCTTCATCATTAGCACCAAGAGATGCAAATGCTCTGAATGCAGCTTGTCGCATATCTTGTGTTAATGTTGCATCTTGTACCTAAGAAAAATATTAAAATAACATATTAACAAATATATAAAGTAAATATATATGTTATAAATATATGTAAATCTATATAAATATATTTACATGTGGATGAGGTCGTAATAACTCTGCAAGTGTAGGAATTAAATGATTACTAATAGAAGCTAAACGTTGTAATTCAGTATTAACTTCTGTAAGAAAAGCCAAAGTCTCAGCTGCAGCTACTCTTTCACGAGGAGGATGATCTCGATGACAAAGTCGCACCAAACAAGGTAAAGCACGATATATAATTCTTGGATCTTTGTATAGTAAAACTCCAGTTCTGTGCATATATGTAACACATCTTGCAGCTTCAAGTTGAATTAATGAGCTTTTCTCACGCCCCATTAATTGTCCTAATGCTACAGGTACAAGTCTACCCTGAGGAGTATTACTGGTAGTTGCTGATGCAACCATAACACAAACTCTATAATTCTTATAACACATATTTGCCAAACATGCTAGAGCTGATAATTGGACATCAGGTAATGGAGAATCCAATTGCATTGCTAATGTTTCTACTGCACCTCCTTTGGCTAAAGCACTCTGCTCTTCTGTTGTCTAATAGAAATTATGTAAATTAATATCATATATAAAAAAATACATTTGATTTATCATTTTCGTACCTTGCATGCTGTTGTTAAGATTGTTGCTACACAAATTTGACAGGTAACAGATTGATTTGCTAATGATACCAATCTTGGTACTAATGCAGGATCCTGATATATTGAATGAACTGGTGCTGCTGGATGTTGAAATACTGTTCTCAAACATCGCAAACATGCTTCATTTAATAAATCTGTTATTTTTGGCTTTCCTTCTAATAATGTTTCTATGATAGGTGTAGATAATATAACTTGAAAAAGTAATGGTACTACACCAAGATCTATAAGAGCTAATACATGCTGATCTGTTCCTTTAGCTAGAGAACCTAAAGTTACAGCAGCCTCAAGTCTTATATTATCTCCAATTCTATCTGATGAATCTCCAAGAAGTTGTAATAAACGTGGTACTACACCTTGAGCTATTACAGATCCTTTTTGTCTATTACTTCCAATTACAGAATTTTTTAAACATCTAGAAATAATAAAAAGAGATCTATTAACATAAAGTTAAACTAATTAAAAGTTAAGAAATTAACTTAAATTAAAGAAAAATAACAAAATTAAGATTATTTTTATAATATTACCTTTTTAATGTTTTTTTACACCATATAGTGATTTTTAATAAATAATAACCTTTAGTAAACAAGTTTAGAGGTTAAGTACGATTTGTACTCACATAATAGCTTCTAAGCACTTTTGAGGATCCAGCGAGTATAGTTCATCGATGTAACTTCTCGAACTCTCAACATCCTATGATATAATAAATTAGTCATTTAATTTTCGAAATTTTTTATTGTTATATAAAAATAAAATTTTTAAAAGCAGAAGAAAACCGGTAAGATATTTCACGTTTTTAACATTATCTACTTACCATGAATGGTTGCATCACCGAGACCATACTTCTTCTATCTCGGTTTTACATACAGATATACTAAATATTCACTCAAAATAATTCTATAATATATATTTTACTATCACAAGAAATTATTAATTCAACAATCCACTTTGTTTGTTATGTGAGCACTTGTTATTCTATTTGATAAAATTTGCGCTCTGAAAAATTTTCACTAGAATAGTGTTACCACTACTATATAGTTAATTATTGTTATAATATTTAATATACTTCAATTTTCTAAACTCTTTTATGCAAAAAAAAATTTAATATAATTTTATGAATTATATATTATTTTTAATGAAGTGAATGATTTAAACTTTAATTTAAGACATTAAAATTTTTAAATATTTTTTTATGAATTTTTATGAATTTTTTTTTTAATTTTTATATATAGAATTCCAATAACAACTTTATCTTTCAGAATTCAAATTGATTTACATGCATATGTTTAAAAATTATTATATATACAAATTTTTAGAAATTTTTGTGAGTTAAATAACATCACCATTGTCTAATTAGACAATAAAAGCGTTTAAAGTATATAATAGCAAAGTATATAAATAAAATCACAAATGAGATAAGGGACTGTAAATAAAACAAATTTTTTTTTTTTAAAAATCACGTGATATTAAATATCATTTTAACATTTAATAAAACTTAACATAAAACTTCATGCTATTTAAAAAGAAAATCGATCACAAAATAGAAAAGTAAAGATTTTATAATATCCTCTATTATTAAAATAATTATATCTCTAAAAATAATAACATTAATAAATGTAAAAAAATCCACCAAATTCATTTAATTTGTGATTTTAGAAAAAAATTCTCAAATTTAATATTTGATCATGTGCTGTTGTCTTATTTCATTCTGAATCGAACTGTATGTGAAACGCAAATAGAAGAATATTTAGAATCAGATGATATAAAAATACGTTAAATGATATCTATCTTGTATTTCATCTATGACTCAATTAATAGAAACTTTATTATATTTCAAATTTTATTTTAAAGTTTGCGATATAAAGATTTATTATAAAACATTTTAATAATAATAATTTTTTGAGAAAAATTTTTTACATTTTTATTAACTATGCATTTAATTAAATTGACTTATATTTATTTACTAAATACTTTAAAGCTTTAAATTTTTA